TTTAAAATGTGGTCTTGCTTCATGTTTGAAACATTCGCAGCACTTTCTGGCTCCCAATTAATAAACAGCAGAACTGGTCCCTGCAGTTTGTCACAACACCCATTCAGAATGTCGCTTTGATTTAGAGCTTTAATAAAGGTGCAAAATTATTGCTGGGTCCTATGAAAAAAAAATTATTCAAATGATCTCGTTTGTAGATGCAGGCTAATCATTATCATTTTCTATGGCTGGTTTTTGATTAGATTTCTTTGCAGTATCAGAAAATCTGAACGTTGTAATGACGACTGATTTAGAAATACGCCTTACATGCTCAAGATCCATGTTTGTTCTGAAACATTTATTTTAGCATAGAATTATCCTTGATTTGTTGGCTGGAGGATGTAGCCAAAAAGCTTTCTTTTATTTTTGTATTTTATTTTTTTATAACGCATTATAAGGGTTTTATATCAGTAATTATTGATTAGCTTTTTGTTTTAAATGTCAAAAATACTGCCAAACTGGTGACGTGGCCATTTGTCTTTTATCCACAACTTGAGCTTTTGTACTTATTTCCTACTTTCATGCTTACTGCTCCCTTACTCAGGCGCACTGTGTGTAATCTGTACTGTGCACTCACTGCGCACACCGTCGGCGGACAATTGAAATTTCACAGTCGAGCGTACTGATTACCTAAACTTTTCTTGACAAATTCTGTCTTTTTCCCACAATCTGAATGGATATCATACTAGCAAGTTCAATGAGCCAGTTGGGCACCAATCCTTGTTTCTCCTCCACCAGGGCACCCATCGGACAGCTGCTGGTCCTGCACAGAAAGTGGCGGTCACACTATGCACTGTAGTGACGGGTTGCGTACATTATCAGCTTGGTGCCGCATACAAAACTTTGATCGTTGTTTCCTACCTAGCAACTTATTGTACGAGTCGTAAAACTGACAATTGTGCAAATGTCCGCATTGTGTACGCGCGGACCTGACTGAGTGATGCATGCCCGAATATGTTGGGGTGTTTACTCAACAAAGAGTGAGCGAGTTAGTTGATGCCACCAACCTTGTTTAGCCTACATTCGTGTCTGTTGTGTTAGATATCATTACTGTTTTGTGAGACTGTTAATACTTTGGCATGCAAATGCGAAGGTTGCTGCCCACCTATGCTAGACGCCTCGTCTATTTTTAAGCCAGTGTTTCCTTTCAGCTGCTGTTCTGGTTCTTGTTGGGTCATTACTGACCTTACCACTATATGCTTTACATCCTGCTCCCCTCGGACTTTATAACTCCATGAAGGACTACCAATCACAGAACCAGAAGAGGGTGTCTGTGAATGGAAGACATGGAGAGAGTGCCGTATCACCCCTGCTGCTGAGGAAACGCTCCTGTAGGATTTCCTTCTGGTGAAGCTAGTTTTTAAGTGATCAGAAACCACAGATGGCGCTGAAGTTGGGATGGTAATTGCAGACTCCAATGTGGAGTCAGATGCGGGTTCCACCTTGATGCGACAGGCCGAGTCATCGGTGTTGCACTCTAACCTTTCGGTCAGATTTAGGGAGCTTTGGATTTGCTTTTTCTTTGTGTGAACTTTCAGTAACAAGTTAAATTGGAGGAATGTGCTTTTCTGTAGTTCTACCTTATTGTAGGGAAAACAGCGGTCTGACACTTGCCCATCTGCAGATTAAATGATCATTTCTATAGCTCAATTATCATGTTAAGTGTAAATTAACTGTAAAAACATTTTACTTCTACATTCCAAGATATCAATTTACATTCTTAGTCCAAGTATTGTTATTTCTTTTTTCTTTTCAGTCTGCTGTCTTATCTGGGTGTCTGAAACAGAGCTACCCGAATATCTTATGATCATCTTCTAACTCTCCAGCGCTCGATTTCATGCCGCCCTATTTGGTATTCAGCAGTGTGACGAAGATGTCATAGTGACAGTGGAGTCCGATAAGCTGTTACAGTGTGAGGGCTGATGGGCCTCGTGTGGATCCCCCCCCCCCAATGTCTTACAGTGTTGTTCAGCAGTAAAAAAAAAGAGTGCCCGAGAGAAAACTGCGCTCTACATTTCTTCTGAATTACTGCTGCTGCGTTGGTGAGCTCACAGAGGGAAGTTATTGGTCATTTCAGAGAGCATTGCACAGTTAGGTTTCTGTTGCCACCTTTCTATTAATTTTGGCTACACTGACTGTAGATATTTTCTTAGAGTTTCTTTTGGAAAACTTGTGACTGGTTTAGATTTTTTTTCTCTCTTTATATTTCTAGCATTTTTTTTTTTTTTTTTTTTTGCTAAAATTGGCTAGTTAAAGCACATATTTCTGTCCAAGAGTCCATGGCATGGTAGAGCCTACTTGGCTTGAATCAGCATGGATGAAAAGATCTGTATACAATCCTAAACCAAGGAATCCAAAATAATTTGTCTTCATCAAGAAACTTAAATAATTCAGTCATAATCTTAAAAATGACTTATAACATTAAAATTTGAATTGCATTTTCTTTTTTTCTTTTTTTTTTGCATTCCTATCACTTTAGATGACTCTCACACCTAAATAATATGATCCTCCCTCTTCCTGGTTGCACGTTTGCCTCACTTGCCACAAAGTGTTAGGAGTTTACATGCACATAAAGTGAAAACTGCACTCTAATGGCAGGCATGAAGGGATGACTACATTATTGGTGGGTTATGTGCAATGAGTGATTGTTCATGTGTTAGCAATAGCTTGGTTGTTCCAAAAACCAATTTTGTAATAAATTCAAAATCAAACAATTAAAATTTGAGATTGTTGTGGCAGAAAAATACAGCAAAAACAATCATCAGCAAATATAGAATGTACAAGTCGATGTTTTTCCACCACGTTTAGTCTGATGGCGGTCGCTGAAGCTGCGTTCTGTCCATCGCAACCCGAGCCACTGTAAAAGTTAATGGGATAGTTTTGCTTCCAGCACTTTCTTGGACTTATGGCATCCTGTCAGGTGTTGGCATGTCCTGCAGAAATTATTCATACCCACGGCAGACTGAGATTTAAGACTATTTTCATTCAACCAAGACGTTTCTGACAGAAAATGAGACGGATGTCTGTCATAAAAAAAGAAAACGATCATGTTGTGAAATTAAAGCGATTACTTAAACCTACTAATGAATTAATTAATGCCTACCCTAATTTGGTGGGTATTTATTGCACTGTTTATGATTTACCGTGATAAATTTGTCGTTAGAATTTTGATTTATTGTTGTTGCAATAAATTCCAATTAATAAAGTTTAAAACTGTCCACACTGTTTGGATTGTTTTACTATTTTCCCCACTGTGTGTTCAATCAGCGTTTCGAGAAATGTTGACAAATTTATAAATATGATTAAATCCGGTAACTGCGTGCAACTTAGTGATGTAGCTTTCGTTGTCACTTTTATTGTTATCACAATAGTACCACAAAATATTGTGATAAAGCTTTAAGTCTATATCGCTCACTCCTACTCTAAATAATGTTAGGTGAAAGTAGATGGAGACATTTTAATTGCTGCTCCAGGTCTGTTAATATGTTCCTCTCATTGATGACTTTAAGTCAGAAATATTTAATATTTAAAACTGGATTTCCAACCCGCTAATCTTCTCAAAATTATATTTTGGCTACTAATCTTAATATTACTTCTTGAACTTTAAATCTTTTATCTTGTTGCTTTTTTTTTTTACATTTGTGAATGCTGGACTCAGTTTAAAAAAAAAAAAAGTATTCTCCATCACTTAACGATTCGTTGTTGGTTTTTACAATGCTTCTAGAAATGTAAACATCACTGTGGGCGATTTGAAGTCTATTAAATCTGCCGTGTAAATAAAGCTGACTTACAGTGCTTCCAGCTGGGTGCCAAATCACATAAAAGTCCCATGCTGCCACCAACTAGACCTGGTTACAGCTCGACGCCATGGTTCTCGTCAATCAAAAGGACTTGAACCAAAATCAAAACTACTCAATTTAATGTACCAAAATGAATTTGGAACATTAAACTTTAAAATTGTTGTTTAAGTCTCTAATTTTGTAGCCATTAAAGTTGATTATGTTGTGTAGGAAAAAAAGCAGTACTTTCAGTTGTCTGAAATTTAGTTTTACCATCAAGCTACTTGTAGATTAATGAAAATATTGCCCAAAAAAAAAATACCACAAGAGAGGGCTTTTTTGATTTCATATTGGCTTTTAGGGACATTAAGCATAGTTTTGGCTGTCATTCACATCCCGAGTGCCTCAACCGGTGTGTGTCGGTGCATTTTCAGAGTGGGGAAACAAAAAAAAGCAAGAATTGTTGTGGTTTTTCTGGTGGGAAGTCATACGGTCCCTGCCCCTGACGGTCAAGAGCAGAGCATCAGGGGGTGTTGAGAGACGGCATGCGATACATACGGGGGTGACTGGAGCAGAGCTCCGGTACCAGGCAACTTACCAAGTGCTGTGTATAATCTGAAAACACTCAGCCAAGACACATGCAGGGCTAAGACCAGGCACCCTACCAAGACCGGGGCCTGTGGGGACATCCTGGTGAGAGCTAAGCCTCCAGTGGGCCTGGAGCTCCGCCAGGAGCCACACACACACGAACACGCACACACGTTAAAGCTTATACAGGCTCTCATCACACCCACACAAGCCCAGACCCACTGCGCATGCAAACAACACTAAACAGAAGGAGAATGAATGGAGCAAAAGACAAAGAGAGCATGAGGGTTGAGGAAATTCAAGGTTTGCAGGCTGAATTGAAGGTTTGCAGCGCCAGATTTGTTTTGTTTAGACGCGCATTAGCGCATCAACGTCTCATTCAGTCGGCCTCCCCGGCTACAATGGGGACTCTCTGCGTATGAAATTAGCCTAATCAAGTTAAACTCGCATTTCTGTAGACGTGTCTGGTGCACACTTGTTAATTAAGCAGTCGCGGTGTCCGAATGGAGGCACCCCATGTTGCTGAGTGACTTTTAAAATGCCGATTGTCATGTTTCTTTTTTTTCCCTTTCTCCTCTTCCTCTTGTTCCACAGATTATGTTTATTTTGAGAACTCATCCAGCAACCCACTTCTGATCAGGAGGATAGAGGAGCTGAACAAGGTGAGTGGGTGTCGGAGGTTGAATTTCCACCCTTGAATGTGGCACTAATCCCACCACTGTGTATCGGTTGTTAAGGCTTCTGCTTCACCAAATCCTCCAGCGTTGTACCTTTCCTTCGGCTCCTTTAGTAAAACCTGTAGAAAAATGTTTTGTTTTTTTTTTTAATTTTTGTAAACCTGTTCAGCTTAAAGTATAGGAACAGTACATCTCAGTACATTCCCACTTAACTAAACTTACAGACAGGAAAACGCAGCAGCCAATACAGTCGCTCTTCCGCTTTAAACAAATAGATGATTTGAGATTAATTACATTTAAAGCAATGTGTGCAAACTGTAATACAGGTGCATAAAGTAATTGGCCTTGATTTGTCTAGGACATTCCCGGTTCTTACAGAGCTGTGCAGACCAGCACGTTCTCCACAAGTAAAGAGAAAGTTGTTCTCTCTCCCCGAGATGCAAACGCAGCATGACGTCCTTCTGTTCTGGCTGCCCTGGTTTGAGAGTTCCTCCACTTTGCTCTTGACAAAGATCCTGGGCACAACTTATTATTATTTTTTTTTTGTAACTCGAGGCGCCAGCAGCTGGTTGCTAATACATCCTTGCTAGCTAGGTAGCTTTTTTTTTGTGTCCGTTTTGAGTAAGTGCACCAGTTGCTTGGGCGACTTTTGTTTTTACCACTGCCAGCCGATACGATCCAGCAGGAATCATCCCCTGTTTTTTTCCAGTATTAAATTTAATTCAATCTGGTATTAAAAAGTCTTAGATTGGACTTGCTGAAACCTGCAGATGCCCTTTTTTATTATTGTGATGGATTTAGAGGTCTTAACGCTTGATTTCATTCTTCCAAGATTCTATAACCGTTCTCAGTTATTAGGAAAAGTGCTACATTTATATTTCAGAGGTAAAATCCATTTCTTGTTACAAAGTTGTTACAAAAATACATTAAAAATTGTTAGCCTAAAGATCTGAACAAATCACTGCTTTAAGGCACTTAAAACAGTTTTATAGTTTTGTGGCTTGTCTCCTATTAAATAATACAGGGCACTATCAATAATAAACAGCCAGAACTGACATTTTATTCATTGTTAATAATTTCAAAAATTGCAACTTGAAATCCTACCATTAGTCACAGTGTGTTTTAAATTCTTCCATCTGTTTTGCATCAAAAGCAGTCAAACTGTTTTATTATAATAAAAGCAGGACTAAAAGGGGACAGATGAGCTGTCACTCATCGAGTCAAGCCTGCGAGCTGTTTTTTTTTTTTTTTTTTTTTTTTTTAAAAAACCAGGGCCAATCTCCTGATCTGTGCCTCTGCTCCAAAATGTGGAGGTTGTTGTAGCGTGATTGACACAGATCCCGCCGTCGGCCTTCTTCTCTTCCGACTGTCGCCGTCGGTCTCCTCGCGATACGGATTCAGATTGAGATTTAAGAAGCGTAGATGTGTACAAGGAAAACCGCTGGACAAAAATTATTAACTAAACCGGAGGAATCCATTCTCTCCTTGCATAAAACGTAAAGACGACTTCAGTAAGTTTTGGGTTAAAATCCTTAAAAGTGGCAACAGATGCTTTCAGAGTGGGGCTGAAAATGAACCCGTTTTGATGACAAAGCGTGTGTGAAAGAATTGAAATAGTCGTCACAGAACAGGTTTAGTTTCCAGTGATTTAAAATTGCGTCAGATTAACATTCACAGACCTTGAAATCACCTCGTCACATTATAGATACGGCTTACATTCCTGCCTAAACCTTTTGATGTTGCCACTTTCCCGCTATTTGCTGTACAAAAAACAAAAACTTAATTTGCATCTACCTTGAAAACACATATTTATTTACGATTTTAATCTCCCAATTTAGCTGCAAAACGGATTCCTTTATAAAATCTCCTTCATTATCTTATTCTAAATGTGATTCTTGAGGACTTTCTGCTTGGATGACACACATTTAATGTCTGTTTTTGCTTCTGTAAATTCTGGTCGCCAGCCGATTTCTTGGTACATTTCTACTTGCTAATGTCTGTGATGCAGACTGTGGTTTAGTTTTTCTGCTATTTTTATTTTTTTTCACTGCTGCACATGAACCGATTATCAAGTTTCATCATCGAGTTTCACACAGAGGATCCTGTAAGTGGGATTCAAATTATTTAACTAACAAAAAGAGAAGGTGCAGGTCCTCCTTGCTGGCAGAATAAAAGCTTAGAATGATCTTTTTTTTTCCTACTTTTTCTTTTTCAGTTCAACATAATTCAGCCTCAACTCCTCTAAGCATGAAACCATTTTCTGGTCTTTTTGTTTTTGATAAATGATTCAATGTCTCATTAAGTTTGTAGAGAAAATGGCTACATTAACAACAAGTCTTGCGCTGATTTAAAAGAAATATATATATTTTTAATTTAGTCTGTGTAGTGCATTCTCACGTGTGTCGGTTTTTCTTTGTGCGGCACCACTTGTTGCCTTGGTAACGTCGATTGTCTCTGCTTTGCAGACAGCCAATGGGAATGTGGAGGCCAAAGTGGTGTGTTTTTACCGGCGCAGGGACATCTCCAGCACACTCATCGCTCTGGCAGACAAACATGCAAGTAAGTGACTGACCAAAAACCCAGCCAGTAAGCATCGGGCATCAAAGACTTCCAGCCCCCGGCATAAAAATGCCCTCCTCTGCTGCAAACCTTTTCTGTTATTTTCTCACTGCGGAGGTGAAAAGCCCCAACATTAAATAGTGCAGGCTTGAAATCAAAAGAGCTTTTACTGCACTGATCCAGACTGCAGACTTGTTTGAGGAGAAAATTGTTTCTTCTTTTGTTTTGCAGTGTGACGACGACTCTGCGTGTATGCGTGTGTGTGTGTGTGTGTGTGTGGAAGTGTTCAATGTGCAGCTCTTCGCTTGCGGAGTGCTGTTCTCCAAAGCAAGTCCAATCGTACTCGGAGTATTGCTACCCCAGGTCGCCTCTCGGTGTTAATATCTGTGATTTGATATTTCTCCAAGAGAAGGGTCAGTGAACTGGGACACAAATGAGCTAAAGGGGAACGCTGTTCAGTTGTGTGGCAAATCCAACAGGAGCACGCGCAAAAGAAAGATTTGTGGCTGCAGGTGGCAGAAGGCTGTCGCTAAAAAGCGGCAGCCATTCCAGACTATTGCATCATCGCCAAAGAGGTCAGCTGAATTGAAAGGGAAAAGAAGCAGAGACAAAACAAAACAGGATTTCTTCCATGTTTAGGACCAGGTGGCTTCATATTCTTAAAAAGAATTTTAAGAAAAGGCTTTAAATTCATGCGTCTTAAATTAAGGCCTTAAAATGACTGAAATTCCTTAAAGAAAATGTAAGTCGGCTTTCAATATGTTCAATCACAAGTCTTAAATTTTGTTATGGCAGGACCATTTAATCTCATATGTTCTATGTAGGGACTTCTCTTCTCTTGTGCGGAGACCTCTTCACTCACTGCGTTGTGCAACTCGATTCGGTTTAGGCTACCAATAACAAGCTGCTAATGCTTGCTAGCTAGCTAGCTAGAGAGCACAAAGCGGCTGCCAGGCGACAGAAAGACCCCAGAAATGTTACAGTTTTGGTCCCCTGTATTCTTTTTTCTGCATCTCTGCTGTCATATAGGTGTTAAATTTTATCCATAAAGGTCTTAATGATCTTAAAAAGCCATAAGTTTGAGTAGGTGAAACACTTTTAACTCTACAGACTGTCATAATCTCTTGATGTGCATTGAATAATTTGATTAGTTTGGTTAGGTAGCCAATAGGTGCTGAATGATATTCAAATTCAAAAGTATTTAATTTCGCTTTGGGAATAATAAAGTAATTCTTTTAGTGAATACTTGATCATTTGTCAGAAATGATGCATCTGCAGCTAAAAAAAAATCTTCTAACATGTAAAAAGCTCAGCACCTTCTGAATATGAATACTGTGTATGGCATATATGCTGTTTGTTTATTTGTTTGACTAACCGATAAATAATTGCATGGCATTAGTCAGTTTTCCTTACGTTACCACTTTGTTTTTTATTAAATACATGTCGTCACAATTTAATATGTCTTGCATCTGTTGCAATCCAGTAATTTGCATGTTAAGGATCAGATGCTTAAAAAAAAAAAAAATATATATATATATATATATATATATTTTTGTGTGTGTCTTCATCAGATATTAAACCTTCTAGATTAGCATTAAAACTGCACCCAAAAAATGTTTTAATTCCCAAAACTTGGATAATAAAAGTATTTTCCACAATTTCATTTAACTCAGTCTACTGTCTTCAGTAAGTCGTGCTGTCATCCACACGCTCTGGAGGTTTGCAAACCAACTTGTAGACTCCGGCTGGGTGTGGCAGGCTGTGTTGGCTCGGAGGGTGTGAAAGCACTTGCGTGAGTCTCTATAAAGAGACCGACCGGCGTTTTTGGAAGCGCGTTTATATAAATACAAGTCTTAACCACGGCGTCCACAGAGGAGACATGGGGCCACATCTATTGCGGGGCAGTCAGTGGTACTTTATTGAGTCTTTTTTTTTTTTTTTTTTTTATGCAATTAATGTCTAGAAGAAGTGTAGATTAGAAATTTGAATGTACTTATAAGAAAGCACACTGAAATACTCTGCAGGATCTGAGTAGATTGGACCAGATTTGGATTGATGATGGGTTGACTTGACAATTTCAACATTTCTAATTTAAAAAACCCCCCAAAACAAACGGTGACAATTGGACTCTACCACATGGGTGTGGTTAACGTCCCATCTGCATTTCTGTAGCTGCGACCTCACATCCCCTTGAGTGCATGACTGCAGATGCATGCATGTGCATGCATAATAGACCTGAGCTGCTGCCTTTAGGTGCCACTGGAGGGCTTGAATCTACTTTTAATTTAACATTTCTAATGGCTCTGCGGAGAGCAGTTCTTCATGGCCTGTGTATATATAAATCTGGGTGTCTGCTGTGAGTCACTGATCAAATATTTTGCTTGCAGAGGTTCGCAGTGCTCCTTCTGCGCGAGGCCTTCAACTCGAGCTTTAGTCCCTCCCTACAAGTAAAGCAGGGCTCCAAAGTGGACAGTCTCTCTGGAGAACTTGGCATTTTGGCTCCAAAGCTCCTCCTTTCAAACACATGAATTTGCTGTGACTCAACCTTTAGTTTCTTTTTTTTTTCTGTCTTTTTTTTTGGGTTTTTTTTAAAGGTGGTGCCTTCTTCCTATAAACCGTGGTCTCAATGCTATTTGTAAAGCGATTCACAAAAGCATTGGCAGTTAGGGAAGCTAGCAGGGTTTATCCAACCCAGTTTTGCTTATGTTTTCATTTAAAATGTGCTTCATTACTTGAAAACTGAAGACGTTTTACGGCCGCCTCACTCGTAGCTCCGGTAATTAGGTGTTTTCTGCTCCCACAACTGAACATAATGGAAGATGACTGTTTCTAATTCTGTTTTTTTTTTTTTTTGGGCTCTGAAGCTCCTCCTTTCAAACGCATGAATTTGCCATGACTCAACCTTAGTTTTTTTTTTTTTTTTTTTTCTGAATTTTTCAAACCAAGTCCATAAACTCTTAATAGGTGCAATGGTAAAGCTAATGCAAACAATATAAAGAGTCGTCTTACTTTCCAGCTGTGCTGGTTTTGTTCCCGTTTGGAATCTGCTGTGGATTAGAGGAAAAAAAAAATCACAATGCACTAGAGTGAGGAAAAGGTTGAACACTGAAAAGGTTTTCTGGAAGTCGTCTTTTACGTAGCAAACAGAGAACTGTGCAGATAGCTGGTAAGTCTTTGACTTCTTTTGACCTACAGTTGCATTTTTGATGACTGTATTTTACAAGCGTGTTTTTTTTTTTTTCGACTTAGTAACATGTTTAGTCTGAGATGGAGTATGTTTGTATTTCTCCATTTCCTGAGCCACTCCATAGCTTGTAGCAGCACATTTGTATCCATTCAACAATTGGCTACTATTAGAGATGCACTGATCAGGATTTTGTGGATGATTTTTCGTCTCCGTTTTTGTAATAGCTTCAAGCTGCCAATCCTGATTTTAGCCGATCCTGTTTAAAAACTATCCATGTCATGCTGTGTGCATGTGAGAGAGCTACCATTGTAGGGTTTTACTGTTTCAAAACAAATGCATCATTATATGCGGTCTGTCTGTGCGTCCTTAAAAAGTCTTAAATTCATGCATCTAAAATGAAGACTTAAAATGTCTTAAATTCAAGTAACTTGGCCTTAAGTATGTTAAACACAAGTTATATATTTTGATCTGACATGACTATTTAATCATATTTCTCAAAGAACTTTTATGTCAGGCAAAAGTGACTAGATAGTTGAGGCTACCAGTAAGTCACTGCTGATATACCCTGGCTAGCTAGCTAGCTAGTTTTTTTTTTGTTGTCTTTTTTTTTTTTGTACATCTATCATGAATAAGAGCAAATTTATTGCTGATTGGCTGAACAAAATTCATACATTTATGAACTTTGTCCAGCCAAAGACCATTTGACTGGGAAATGGACAAATTTAAGACTTTTAAAGACCATTCATGATGGTCTTAAAAAGTCTTATATTTAAAACCGACAGAAACTCTAATATGGAGCAGTCACTTCAAACAGGTTTTAGGACCTGATATTAACAGCTAGGGCAACTAGCATGGTCAACTTTGCTAACCGTAAGCATTCATCTCTGTGTGTACTCTGTATTAAATAATGTACACCCCTAAGTTTTCCAAAAGACTAACCTTTCCAGTTCATCATGTTCAATGACGTCAATGACGGAGAATGAAAGCTTCAAAGGAGACAACAGAGCTATTTTAATGGGTCTAGTTTCTCCTTCCTGTTATCTACTGAAGTCAGCTCTGAGTCTCTTCTCCAATGAAGGGCAGACGGCACATTTTCCTACCTGCAAAAGTTTGGTATGAAACACTAAAAGTTGTAAAAGCATCAAAAGACAAATGAGCGAAAAGGACAACACTCTTAAAATTATAGTTCTCCTCTGGAGAAGCCTGAATGAATTGTGCCTCTATAAAAAATTATTTTTAGCTTATAACCTTTTGTGCTTCCTTTGGATGTGTTTAAACATGTCAACAATACGGACGACTGGCTAACTATCTTAATGCAGTGATGACTTCCGCTCTGAAGTGTGTTTTAAGTTAGCATGACCTGAAAACTTAGAAAATATGAAATTAAAAATTTTTCAGACTGTTTGCTCATCCCTAAAATCAATAGCTTACTATTGCTAAACTTTTCTTTCCCCAATGTTTTTATTATTATTAGTAGTAGTATTTAGTACCTATAATAATGAAGAATTGCAAGTCTTAACTGCACATCTGCTGTTGACACATTAACACTCTGCATATTGAGTATAGGAGGTTTATTAAGGTAATAAAGGTCCATTGCGCTCTTCTCACACAAACATCTCGCCCTCAGGCCCGCTCTCCTCTCTTCCTCACCTTCCTCTTCCATCTCGCAGGCTAGTAAGGCGACCCATTCATCAATAATTGATAATTGGCTCGGACAGGTGAGACGGAGAGGCAATTTGTAGAGAGTGTGGTGTGGGTACATTGCGAAGTTGGGTTGCCACTCAAGGACTCGCACTGAGGCGCCAGCTGGAAGGTCCAAACAACCGATGGACTACTTGATAATCCTTGCTTGTGTGTAGGTGTGTGTGTATGAAGTCAGTGACGCGTACATGAGGAAAGCGTGGATGTTTTTCCTTGGTGGATACGACTCTTGCAGCTCGTTTCACTATTAGAGTTTACAGAGGAAGTCGGAGGAAGCCCAGAAGATGCAAGACTTTAGACAGGAGGCTGTGTTTTCTGTCTGTTCAACCAGGCTGCTGCAACCAAGAGAGTTAGACATCAGCAGATAACAGGAAGCTGATCGTGTTACAACAAAGTTGCTCCGTTTTATACTTTATGATTGTGCAACGTGGATTTGGAAATGCTGGCACTGTTTTTGGAAAACCCTCAGGTAGCATTAGGATCTATAACTCTACAGGGAATTCATGCTTAAGACTTCTTTTTGCTTTCAGCACACTATTATAGTTTTGAAAGTCACACCAGTGATCTCTGTTTCTTTTATTTGAAGTAATTGTGAAATCCTGTTCTGCTGAGCTGCGTAACTCCAACTGCTCTCTTACACACGGCAGTATTAAAGGCTTCATAAGGGTCCTGTAAGAAGCAAATGAACAACTTACCGACTTAACACAATAATAAATCAAAAATAATGGTTTTATTTTCACTGATAACTTTTAAGAGAATTGCACTGATCATTTCCACTTTATAACTTGAGGTTGTTTTCCTAGAAACCATAATTTAATTCTGTAAAGACACTTTTCCAATTCGCTCTCAAAGATGATTTCCTAGAAACAAAATCTGTGTCGGAGCTTTACAAGTCCCCCCAAAAAATTGGAAACTAGCTACAAAAAGTAATCGGTGCATCTTGCTGTATTTTTCGTTGATTTTAAAAACGTCTCTACAACACATTTGGGCTGCTTTATTTTCCTGAGGGGTTGCAGCTGGTTAAGTGGTTTTCTCATTCTGTGCGCTGCTAGATCCAAGGTTTGCATTCGTGGGGGAATGATTGTTGCATGTTGTGCGTCTTCTCTCGTTTCTGTTTGAAACGGGTCCGCTGTGCTCAGAAGAGAAGACGTCTCGCAGAGTAGAATCTTAACTTTACTTATTTACAGGATTTTCCTCAGGTTGTTTGATTCAACTTGGCTGTCTGGGATTAATGTAGCTCAGTTTATATTCCCCTTTGCTTCAGCTGTTTGGAGAGAAATGGAGAATTAAAAGAGCAATTGTCTCTGTCTCAGTGTGTATTATCTGCCTATTATTTATACCAGTATACACTGCATTGTATTATGTACTTTAAACAGTGTGCATAGCTGGATTAGATTCCACTTTTATTGTTCTTAAACAGCCCTCTGATTAATTTGATTACATTTGATAATTGCTGATAAAGATATGGATAAGCCCCTTGTTTCAATTGTGATAAATTATATGTTTTAGCTGATATAGTTCTGTAGAAATGCTTCGTTTTAGAGCCAAGCAGCAGGAAAATAATTCAGTTATTTTGGCCTTTTTTAATCTGCATCTTTAAATAAAAAAAATAAAAAAAAGTCAGCCTGATGATGGATGGAAGGAGGGAAACTGGCTTTAATTGTTGCTCCAGTGCATTCTGGGAATTGTAGCTCTTACTCTTTTCTGTTCTGAAGAGGTCAGATTGTTTTCAGTACATTTGAAAAAAAGAGTCAACTTTGTAAGACGGTCCAGACATGGCTGCCAGTCCATGAGCTTTCGTTGTGATACCAAGCTGTACGCGTAATTAGTCCTAAAGGGGGAACATTTTTCCTGTAACACATCGACACCAATATATAAGAAAGTGATCGCTGTTGGCCGATACAGAAGCAAACGTCAGATTTGGGTTGTCTCATGATTTTGAAGACCACAGATCTAACAAAACCTGTCTAGGTTTAGTTTTGGAATATAAAACTTTAAGCTGGAATATTGAAATTGTAAATTTGTTGGAGCTTTGACTGAACACTTCCTGTAATTAGGCTTGGTTGTTTCCTGTGTGCTTCACATGATTCAGCAGCACAAGGAAGCAGCAGCAGCAGCAGCAGCAGCAGAAGAAGAAGAAGGCGGCGGCGCAGGGCCCATGCAGAGTGTATCCATCTGAGCGAGCTGAACTGCTCTTCCTGGGCATTGATGGTGTGTCTGCTGGGCGCCGAGTGCTGGGCAGAGAGAGTGAGGGAGTGAAGAAGTACTTATTGATTTTGGCCACACATCTCTTCTCCTGAAAGTCCCTTGATTGCTTTTGTTCTGCTTCCAGCCTCCCTCTCTCCGTCTCTCTCTCTCTTAGCCTCGCTTCCTCTAATGAAACTCCAAATGAATTGGAGCACGTACCGACTGCTCCGGTGCTCTTCGTTTCACTTCTCTCCTCTCTTAGGCTTTCCCCCCCCTCCCATATAATGGCAGTCTCTCGTTGTCTTCATTTCTCACTGTTTTTATTCCCCTTTTATCTTTGATACTTTTGTTATTCTTGCCACTCCTTACTGTGATTTTTTTTCTTGGATCTATTATTCAGTTCATTTCTTTCCTGGGGGTGCCTCTCTCCAGCGGTCATTGGGTGAGAGGTTGCCAATCCATCACAGAAACACACAAACTAACACCTTATGGCGTGAAGCACCGATTAATTCAACAGGAAGCCAGACTACCTGGAGTGAACCCACATTTGCACTGGGAAAATATGCAAACTCCATGGAAAAAAGCCCCCACACCAGGATTCAAACCCTGGAAATATTCAAACTTGCTGCTAATGCCAACAAGACAAAGTACATTCTTCCTTATAAATGTTTATAAATAAAGCGTTTTTGTGAAACAGGAAGACGAGGCTGTATCGATCCGGGCACTCCGACTGTTACGTGTTCACCAGAGAGACGGTCTGGGGGAAGAAACTGTCCCTAAGGCAGCTGGTTTTTGCGAGTGACGCTGAAGGTTTAAGTCCAAATGGTTTGTATCCAGGATGTGTGGGATCTGCAGAGATGTTAGCTTATCCTTCTCCTGACCGTAGACCTGCACACGTCTTGCTTTGTGGATGAGCTAAACTGCACAGTGATGGACGAACGCAGGACAGACCAAATAATTGTTGCGTAGAAAATGACCAGAAGATTGTACTGCTTGAGTTTCTGCAGGAAGTAGGAAGAGGGGTGGAGGATTTTGGTGTCTGTCTGTGAGAGATGAGGATGTGGTTTCTCAATGTTAAACACAAAAAATTCTACTTTTAATGACGACTGCAGTTTCAGGCTTGGTTGGTTTGGGGACCAAAATTGCAAAATTTGCTATCTGGTGCTGGTCGCTTTTACTTTGCACTGTCAGACGAAGCAAACGCTTTGAAAAACCCGTTCTCCCCCATTTGCCTGTGGTGGCGCTGTAGCAAGAACCACTGGAGAAAGCGGCACGAAAACCTGAAAAGAAGACGTGAGCGCAACTTCCTCCTTCGCAAAAATGTGAACAAAAATGGAGTAGCGTCAGATTTTAGCGGTTGTAGGATTTCTCTTTTTCTCTCATTGGTCAAAGACCAATGAGCCTTTTCTTCCATTAGACTAGAGCATTCGTTTACGCAGTGCATTTACCCAGAATGCACTGCTGCAGTTCACTTTCTGCTTTTGGATTTTGGATCACATATGCATTCGAGCCGCGCTGAAGTTCAATACTAGGTTTGTATGCGGAGCAGAGTTTGCCTTTTCGGTGCACATCAGCGTTTGATTCACACCTCCCCAAACGAACCCGACATTCTTGTCAAACTCTTAAGTTGAACTGAACAGGGCTGGTGTGTGAATGCACCTTTTTTTTTTTTTTTTTTTTTTAACCCCTTCATGACAATCATCCCTATTTCATAACAGAGGACCTTTTTGCTGTTTGAACCTCCTGTCAATGTGAGTCATAGCTGCACAGGAAGATTTTACAATTTCATCTGCTCACATCAAAAATTGTTTGCTTCTTTTTTTAAAAAAACCCAATGCAATCTTTCTGAGCTTATTACTTTTGTGATCAACATGTAAGACATAAAAATCAGCAGCTGTGTTACCTCAGTCAATCTGAAGGAGGCAGAGTTATTACACGTGAACTTGTTTCTTTTGGCTTTTTCTTGTATGCAAAGTCAGTCGGATTCCCATAAAACCCGTCTGAGGTGTGTGCGAACATGGCTCATGTCTCTGGGGGAGGGGGTTCATTGTTCTGGCTCATCAAGTGCGCGTCCCCGTGTTTCAGGTCCTCTCGCTGTGCACCTGAGACGCCGTACCGACAGCTGCCGAAAGATTTTTCCATTCCTGCCGTTTTTCCCAAAGGAGCCCATTGTTCCGCCTCATCTGATGTGCGTATGTTTGACCTTTGTTTCCTGCTGTTTTCTTTTTTTTTTTTTTTTTTTTTTTCTCTATGGGGGAGTTGGAGGAGGAGATGGAGAATTCAGAGATGGCCGATCTCCCCGAGAAGCAGAAGCACCAGCTCAGGCACAGGGAGCTTTTCCTGTCCCGTCAGCTGGAGTCCCTACCAGCAACACACATCAGGTAGTCCACCGGCTGGCCTCGCTAGCTGCACTGCGCCTTTGCTTTTGTTTTGTTTCAACTTTTTTTGAGGCAAAATATAAACTTAGAATATATCAAACCAAGAAAAAAACATTGTAATATTTTATTTTTGAGCACAGCAGTGTAATGACTGATTAACCCAAAGGTTTCAGTCAACTTTCAACCATCTGAAGTCATTAAGGATGAAAAAAAAATCCCATTTCCTGAAATAGTGCTGTGAAAACCTTACAGGTTGAAATGAAGTTGTGACTTTTTTTTTTCTTCAGAAAATGAAACTCTAAGATTATACACATAATTATATTTTGCAAGCCCTGAAAGACTAAAAATTGGGGCTTTTAATGGGATTCTGTGCAGCATAAATTTTATCTGCAAATGACTAAATTGTTGCTACGTTCTGGCTCTAAAGCAGATCATTATTATTTGGCAGATGGAAAATACCTCTTTTTTTTCAGAAAAAAGATTAACATCTCAATCTGACTTTCGAAGACATAAAATTCTGATTGTTGTTTAATATATAATTATGATCAGGACTGAAGTTGATCAAAAGACTTGACCTAAAAAAGAAGTTGAAAAAGATGTGACTTGAAGTAATATTTTAAGTCAAAATTTTGAATCCTTTTTGTTTTTTTTTGCATAACTTTTTCTTTTTTTTTTAAAAATAGATAACAGTGGCATGAAGGGTTAAAATTTTCTGAGTTTTGAGAAAATTGTCAAAAGAAAAGTAAAAAAAAAAACTGAAATGTTTTTTTTTTTTTTTAATTGCATTTCCTGGAAATGGACGTATTTGTCCTTTATGACTCAAGAGGATTGAACATTTATCTTCTAACGGACCGCTACAGAAATAAAAATTTAATTCCAAACGTCCAAAACACACAAAAAAGGGCTAAAGACACCTGAGGGTTAAAGGATGCTGTGCTTTATTAAAATAATCTGGCACTAAGTGAAGCTCTGATGGGCAAACCGAGCACTAAATGCTGACAGAAGCCAGTTTCTAGACTAATCCTGACCGTTACTCCTGAAAGAGTCCTGACAGGTTAAATGCAAGCCTGATTAAGACTTCCTGATTAACACGGCTGTGCAGACTTTTTCACAGGTTGTCTGAGTTTGTCACCCTCCCAAATGAGATATAAGGGTGTTAATAATTTCCTGTGAAATCATCTAAACTTAGAAAGTAGCAATTAGCAAAGCCAAACGGACACTATCGCTGACCGACCTCTGCGCCGTGATTCATCTGATTTGGAAGAAAGTTATAAATGTGCACTTTTATTTATTTATTTTTTTTAGCCTCACTTTAAACAAGTTTCAATTATCCTGGTTTTTGTTTAGATGTAACGGAATAAAAATAGCTGAACGCAGATAGACAAGCACAATTCGGAACATCGCATTTTTTCCTTTCCTCTTCACAATTATGCATTACTTTGTGTTACTAGAAATGAGACACGTTGAACTCTGGGGTTTTAACGTGACCCAATGCTACGTTTTAGGGACGTGATCGCTTTTTGCAAGACACTGAAAATGTTTCTTCTGGCCTTTCCTCCAATTTCTCTTTCATCTCGTGCATCTCGCTGCTCTGATCTTCCTCCCCGTCCTCGCCCGGCTCCAGAGGGAAGTGCTGCGTGACGCTGCTGAATGAAACTGAAGCCCTGAAGTCCTACCTGGACAGAGAGGTACGCATGTGTGCGTCCATGTGCAGAGAGCGTGCAGGCATTCTTGCAGAGAAACGTGCAACTGAGGAACGCGTGAGCAGAATGCACCGCGCATGAAGATTTTTAAAACCGGCTTTGCACCAGAGCTTGTTTTTTTTTTTGTTTTTTTTCACTCTTTGACTGTGGCTGGTTTTAGTTTTATTCGCCTGCAGCCATACAGCCATACGTAATAGTTCCTGGAAGTACCTTTCCATTTCAGCTTTTTTTTTTTTTTTTTTTTTTTTTTGTTTATTTCAAGAAGAAAACTTTTTACAGTTTTAAAACCTCTTCATCACCTCACCTCTAACCGCCACTTTAACATTTCATAATTTTCAAACAACTTTCCAACAATAAACCTAATCAATGACATTCTATTCAGTTAAATGCATCGTTTTCTTCCCAGCAAGTTTTTTTTTTTTTTTTTTTATTAAAAACTTGCATCTTCCTGCGGCTGCTGCGTTGGCAGTGAGAATTTCTCACAGAAGTTTCTCATTGACAATCTTGGTGCCCACTGAAAATGTTTCCTGTTGCTTTAAACACCTAACATTACAAAAAAAAAAAAAAAAAAACGTTTCTGCCGCACGGAGCAGAAATATGTTGCTATAACTAGCTCATGTTTATTGCATCCTTGCGCACGTGAGGGGAAATAAAATTATAGGAGGACTGAAATTTCAATGAGATCTATACACACAGCCTCATACCACTGAGGAACGGGCTGCTGTGCGTCTGACCGTGAAGCTACGGTACGCATCCAGCCCCAGGTGCAGATGCCCAACGGCATCATGGGATTTAAATATGTGATTAGGTGTGTTAGATTTGCGGGCTTGTGTGAGGTTGTGTGGGTCTGAGTCTTACGAGTTTAAAGATTCCTGTTTCTAGATGAATTATTCAGCATGTTGACCCAGAATGTTCTGTTCACACACAGTAATGAGGAGACGAGAGACTAGCAGCGAAGAAACCACGCACACACGCACGCACGCAGTCAAATAACGACACACTCTCAGGCCCGGTTGCCCGTCTTCTGCTCTGAACTTTCCTCCCGCCTGTAATTCCCAGGATGCCTTCTTTTACTCGCTGGTGTACGACCCTCAGCAGAAGACCCTGCTGGCGGATAAAGGGGAGATCCGCATCGGGAACAAATTCCAGGCCGACATCACCGACCTCCTGAATGAAGGTAGTTTAATCCGGCCTATTTATTTAAACATTAGATTCTAAGAGAAGAAGGTTTTTCTTTTCTTCAGGGAATATTTTCTCTCTCTCTTTTTTTTTTTTAAACCACTGAATATTGATGCGCTGCGTCCGAACGGCACAGTAGTTCAATAAATAACTGCTTTCATACCTGATCCTGAACACTGACGTCCCAGCGCTGTCCGATAATTTTTCAGCCAGCAAAAGTTTGTTCACCTCTTGAACTTTTTCACGCTTTGTCACAACAGAATGCATTCGATCTCTGATCACAAAGCATACATGTAAAGGAGACTAAATACAAATGCATGCCACACTTTTCAGATTTTAATGTGTAAAAGAAAAAGCATAGAAAACTATACATCAAATACACAATTATTTTCGAACGGTTAAAAATCAGAGATGCAGCAAACAAGATCGAGATCAAATTTATTTATGTAGCACGTTTCCAACAACTAAAGCTGCAAAAATTCAAAGAACAAACGGAGATAAGATCCAACCTGTAAGGCTGTTAAACTACGAAAAACAGCTAGAAAAGAAAAAAGGACATAATAAATCATCCAATGATCAGCTCCAATCAGTGATTGGCTGATCAATTACTGGAAATGTAGCTTATTTTTCATCCTAATTCATTAATTGCATCAAAACAAAACACTTTTACTATTTTCACTCTATAAACTCGCCCTCTAACACACGTATGCAGATGTATGATTTGCTTATGTAATTGTTTAATTACAGTCTTTCAGATTTCTAACCACCTACTTCAATTTAAAAACCTGCAGCAGATTTACCCTCCTTGTTTAGACAAAAAAAATGTTTTTGGTCAAAATCTGCATCTGCCAAGAAAAGCTTCCACAACTTGTACTTTCACAGAAAATGAATCATAACCACAACTTTTAATTTTATTCCAAAATTACAGCATTCCATAGAAAAATAATATTTTTGTCTCAATACTTTAAGAAAATGTAAATCTTTGTGGACACATTATATGTTTTGCCAAAACCTGTTATTCTTAGCAAGTAGGAAAAGCAGAAGCTGCAAACCAGTTGGATTCAATAAAAACGTTAACACGTAGAACAGTTTTTTTTTTTTTATTTTTTATCAAATTATGTTTACTGTGTTTGTTGGTAAATTTAGACGAAGAGGACGGCAGAGACCTGGCAAAGCTAGAAGAGAAGATCTGGGATCCCAACAGCTCACTAACAGAGAAACAGATCGACCAGTTTTTAGTCGTGGCTCGGTAAGTGAACAATGACGCTAAAAAACAAAAAAAAAAATACTCACAAGAAAACTGATTAGAAAGGAACATAATTATGATAACGCTGGGCAGATGTTTTAAAAATGGTGTCCATCTTCTGTAAAGATACAAAAATATTCCAGGTTTTGGATTTCGGTTTTATCGTGAACAATCATGCATTGTCTCCAGGTTCCAGTTCTGTGTTGAAATATAAAAGTCGTTTGTTGTCAAAATTTCCAAGGTTTGAATTAATGTGAGAACCAAAAATGGATTAAATGTTTCGGTTCCGTCAGAAACTATGTGTAGTACAACATGGAAAGTCGAGCTTAGAAGAGATACTACAGAATTAAGATTTTGTAAACATATAATCATAATTTTATACTGAATGGTAACAAAGTTTACAAAATGAGCATCGTGTAGTGTTAAACTGAGTTTAAGCGCTACGAGTAGCGCTAATATGCCGCATGAATAGCGCCATTACTAAGCTTTTATTTTGAAAGATACAAAAATAATACAAAGTGCTTCTCATGTGTTCAAAACAGACGTGCAAAACAACCACAAGATTGAATGAAGTTAAATGAATAGGACAAAATTTACTGCTTTGGCATAAAAAAATAATAAAAAATAAACCTAGAACAGTAGAACAGAAATATTTTTATTAAATTTATAAGTGCAATAGTGTTAAAACTGAATGAGTAACATCTTTACTTAAGAGAAATAAATATTTTCACGTATCCAAATTTTATTAATAATGAACGCATTGTTTCGAGAGCGCTTTCATCTTTGGAAATGTGTAACACCTCTGCTCTTTTATCTGTCTGTGTGTGGAAATTGGCATCATCAACAAACAAATTGGATAAAAGAAATGCACCAAAAAAAAAAAAAAAAAAAAAAACAAAAAAAAAAAAAGGAAAAGGAAAAAAACCACAAAAAAAAACCAAAAAAAAAATTTTTT